CTCGATCACTCCAACGTTTGATTGAACTCTGTTTGCTCTAATTGCAATCTAAAAATTTATATCGCGGAATTTGGGAGAAAGTTCTTTTAAATAAATGAAATTGATAAATTCAATAGAGGTTGCATTTTTTAAAAGAAGTCTACAGTTACAAAATTTCACCTTATGTTTGTATGAAAAAAGGAAATTCAAGCATGAAAACTCATTTGCAAATAGAATTGCAAAAAGGGAAACGAAGGGAAGAGAAAATTGCAACAGTTTATGTAGTGGGGGAACTTAAAAGCTCCGAGGACAAGGGGACAGGGCTCTGGAGCCGTGTCCCGAAGGACGTTGCAATGGGATTTTACGATCGTATTTATGGCCAATTTTATAGCTAAGTCCCGTGAAATGTCCTTTGTCCGTCCTCGTCTTTTCGCTTTCGAGGACAACGGTCCCTAAAATGAACGTGAGCTTTCGAAAAGTCCTTACGGGGGTCTCGTTGAAGCTCCTCGGAGGATCTTTCTTGTAACGTCTTCGGAGAATAATATTGTCGGTCTATTCTACTGTCAGTCTAAAATGGAATATTTTAATTTGAACAATCTACAATGAAATTTGTAATAATTTAAGTTAAAAAATAAATACTACGTTGTAAACACTGTCGATTTGAAGTGTAATTGTATGGAATTGGAAAGTGGGATACAAATTACTCGAGAACAAATCATTTCGGTTGAAATTAGGAAATAGTTCAACACAATTTTTGTTCCCACCCGATCGCCTCTATTAGAAGGTACTATGATAATGTTATTTATAAACGGAGATCACGAAATAGCAATATTCCAATCTTCTCGATGGTACCAATTACAGAAAAAAACGCCTAATAGTCGCTACCGGTGTTTCGGCATCCTCTAAACTCCCCTTCTCGAAACCGTGACACAGCACGTTTCTCCTAACTACATGGCCATCCAATCATCTATTTCAACGTCACGCGATTGTTCCCTGCAATACCGACACCGTGCTATATTTCATCCTGTTAATATTATTTAAAAAATTCGAATTTCAACGTTTAAACTGTTAAAAATGACGAAGTACTTTTTTTGATCTTTTACTCGTTATTCGAAACTCTTTATCTAGATAATGAATTTGCCCATGTCTGCTTTTCTATAAGAAAGTTTTAATTGTAACATTAAATCCACTTTGACAATTGGTACCATCAACATTTACAATTCTCCGTCAAGAATACCGCAAATTGAAGCAAATTGGTGAATTAGAAAATTCAGCAAAAATGTTCATCCATCCATCCAATAAATGGTAAAACAGTGCACTTCCGGTGTTCCGAACAGAAACAGCCAACAGGAGACACTCTAGGCTTGATTTACACGGGGGCAATCTAGCATGGCCGAATCTCGATTCTCCGTACACCTCAGCCGGCAATAAAACGTGAAAATTCAGGCTGGCCACGAGATGCGGCTACCGTGAGGCCATGGTTCAACGAAAAACCGGACGCGGCTACCGTGCGCCAATAAAATTTACGAGACCTTTGCGGTGTGCCTGCATCGCTTTCGGGGCCCTTTTGCCGTGAGCTGAGGCGACAGCAACCCACTGCTGACCTACTGTCGCCCTCATTGTCCCTGTCTAGCGAGCCTTGACTCGCAAGAGGGCAACTTTTGCCCCCACCAAACCTTGGACATTGGAAATTTCTCCTGGGCAATGTGGGTTACCGGGACATCATAATCTCGATGCCTAGGGTCGTATTTCTTAAGGGTGTATCTTTTAAAAAATCCTACTGTAATGCTACCGAGATGCCTTTACTTTGGTTTAACAGCGTTCTGAGCGACAGTGGAAGGTGACAGATTGAGGTGGAGGTTGGAGAAATTCAAGCAAAAAATTATTTGGATTTTGGAAAATTAATTCAAAGGATTTATCGTTATGTTATACATACATAGGAAAGATGAGAGAAAATAGGATCTATTTAAGTAACCACGAAACCAACCGTGGTGCATCAGAACTGTCATCTCTCCGATTATCCAAGCAACCGTCACAAATTTTGGGGCGAACGCAAACTTTCTCTCGATGGTACGAGGAGCAAAAATCCACGTCGGTTAGCGGACGGAAGCGGCGGTCACGCAACACCCAACGCATTATCGATGCACACGTGCCTTTTGTGAAAAAATTCCGGCGTGTAGATGATGGGCATCGGACGCCGCCACGGGACCGCCAGAGCACCGTCACGAGGGGAGGTGCGATGCGTTACAGCTGGTTAAACAGCTGTACGGTAGAAAAGATAGCCGTGAACGCCACGACAAATTTCAATATGAGCCTCCAGAAAACTGCGTACCAAATCGGATGAGTCCCCCACCTCGACCCCTTCTACCTTACCACTGTCTTCTTGAATGTTTGTTTCCAGTGAAAACGGTGTTTTTTCCCCTTACAGGCGCTAAGGGCGGTCTAGATCAGTATCCTATCATTGGTATCAGGCTTTTTAAGAATTATGGAAACTATTACCTGATTTTAAAAGTCCAATGTGGTTACTTACAATTAGCTAAAAATAAACTGTACGTTTCGTGATGTTTCTATTGTGACTCGAGTTTGTAGACGGCCTGATTTAACTCGTTTGCTCGTTGTAACTAAGCTCGAGCTGGCAATTGTCCATATCGGATCAGATGCAGCTTACAAAAAGTAAAAAATGACAAATCACCCGATGACAAGGGGAGCTTCTGGTTGAACCTGACACCACGGCCTTCGGAAGATCTTCTTCCTCGGAAGACGTCCTTCTTCGACCAACAGCCAACAGGGCACAGCGTCCTTGAGATATTCGGGTCACGAGATTCAGTCACTCGAGGGAGGATGGAGACGTTAAACGAGCATCCACGGAGAATTTATGCGTTTATAACCCGTACGAATACCGGTAGCGATCCTTGGGCTAACGTTCAATCTACTCCGGCCGGCTCGTGGCGGGATACTTCTATTGTGAACGCACGGTAGCCAGCCGTAAAAGTGGAAAGTCGCGAAAGAAAGGCTCTCGTGGGCTGGCACAGTTTTCGAAAATTTAGGGCCACTGGGTCTTTGGGCCAGATCGGTCAAAGAGGGCATATTCTCGCTTTCATGACCGTGAGGAAGACACCTCGACCTATCTCCAGTGAAACGAAATCGACCTTCCGGCCAGGAAACGGAACAGGAGGAAGTCTAAAAGAGAATTTTCACCAAGATCCACGCTTTTCCAGTAGGTGGGAGAGGGAACGCGTTCACCCCCGTTGCGGGGTCAGATTTACGACCAACCATCCGAGAAAACAGGCGACCGACTTCTGTTTGGCCACGCGACCCTCTGTGTCCAAGCTGGAAAGAGAGATCTCTTTTTCTCTCTCTGTCTCTCTCTGTCTCTGAGAGCCACCCCCTTAAGACGGCTTGACAAATAGCTTTTCCAGAGAGAGGAAGAGAGAGAAATACTCGCCCACCCGTGGTCCAGCCTCGCGACGAGATTGAGATGTTTTCAAAATGTTTGGGACTGTTTGACAGTGGACGCGTGCCGTTGTCGCACTCTGACCCTATTTCGAAAGTTCCCAGAGACACCTTCCCCAGGGGCATCTTCTCAGGTGAAATTCCTTTCAATTAGTTTTTTAAAAGCGTACCAGGTATTTGGAAACCTACTTCTTGGTAGATGTGTACCCCTCTTCTTTTGCTACTAGCTTTCCATTTCGATTCTGTAGAGCCTACACGTAGCATAGACGGATGGTCTATTGTTACAGGAGAGGTATATTGTGTGTCTGTCCGTTTTCGATGAAACGGAAAACGAGGTGTCGAGAGCAACACGCCTTCTGATGCTCGTAAATTAGAAAGTCATTAGCGGCCAATTCGGCCTCGATTAATCCACCCTGGCAAATGATACACGTGGCTTCATAGGAGACAGACATCAGGGGCTATCATAAGGCGTTGTTCCGTCTATGGGAATATCGATACGGGTGTCAGTTGCTCCGTGAAATTCTCCATCAATCTACGAAATTATCCGACATATGGCCGCTAGAGAGACTGGTAGCTTTTTTGTGTACATCTCGCGCTGGATGCTTCCGGCCATTTGAATATTCGTCTCTAACGTGTCTCGAAACTCTGCTTATCGTAACAGTCTAACAAACCTCGTTGTTATATCGTTATACTTTTGTTTCAGCTGTATATAGCCATTAGTTATAACTCTATACTAATATACCTCATAGAGGATTTACTGTACATACATCCCTCGGTTGTAATCGCCACCTCAGCTACATTACGCGGCAATAATATCCATCACGGATCGCAGAGAAGTTACTCAGGAGGATCGAGCCCACCGTTACGAAAATACCCCATGACAAAGATACGTAACGTGTGTGGTACGAACGAAAGGGGTCGGTGCATGCATCGCGGAACGAGTATTTAAAAGCACGCGATTATAATTCAGACATGTACTTATACATGTGTATGTGTTGCAACGCAAGTTCAAAGTTCGCGTGGCCACACGTATGAATTATGAATTCGGTGCAGCCGGAGGCTAGTGGCCGGTCTGCATCATTATCCCAAAGATTTTCTGTTACGATTCCATATGGCGCGAGATCTCTCGCGAGCTTTCGCTGCGTCCGCGGGATCGTTGACGGATGAAAAAAAAGATACGAACGGGTAATGTGAGCGTCTGCTGAGCTAATTGAGAGGATCGATCGTTATGAACCGGGGGGTCTGGGATCGCCTTGATTGCCCGACCGCGGAGATTTCAGCGAGTTCCACCTTGATTGAGCTATTTACTGTACGTTTACAGATGGAACATCGCTTCCAAACTGAAAAATTGGCAATTCGAGGATGAGACTAAAAATGTTGTATGATCTTCAAATTTGAATAATAGATTTCGAAATGTGAAAACGACAGAGAAGAAAACAGGTAAAACTTCGAAACTATCGAATAGTGTGTACCACAAGTCGAACGGGAACAAATTTGAATGAATAAAGTCTCATTTCTCTCCACTCATTTTTTTCGATGTCTTGACGGGAAGCTTTAGACGCTGAAAAATGTCGAACAGGAAGGAAAAGGTGAGACAAATTCTATTTTGTGAGTGGTATAAGCACGTTTCTAATCGGTTGGATTATGTACCTGAAGGATTTCAAGAACGTCTTCGACGATGAAACGGTGGATAGGTTCAATAGGGAAATGTAAAGGGTAAAATTTCTGATCTGTAAAATTTAGATAGGAAAATTGTGTTGATTTATTTTTTAATGCTTTAAGGATTTCTGACGTGGATACATCGTAAAAAGAAACAGAAGGAAAAGTTGGCAGAAGAAGAACGTAAAAGTGGAAAGGTTAGATACTTATTATTTGTATGAATAATTAGAATTTCAATTAATTGTATCTTTCTGTGTAGTCCGAAATTAAAGAAGAGCAAGAAAATGAGACGGAGAAACCGAAGGAGCTGCAAGTTACAGCACAATCCGTGGAACATACACGTAAACTATGTACATTACTTAATTGTTAATAAATTATTGAGGGATCTCGCTTGTATATAGGTTACAGACTTACAAAATTATCGAAAATGAAAGCGATTCGTTTGAAGAATAAAAAAGAGAGAAGGGAAGCATTTTCGCAGCGATTCAGGAGACAAAAGTTCTTCGATTCTTTGATTGAATTGAGGGTAAAATATGTCTGGGATTAAATAACGAGCTCTGATCATTAATTTGGAAATGTTTTAGACGAATTTCTTGCAAGGACAATGGGATCGAACTTGCCATTGGAGAGAAAGAAGACTTATACGCGAGAAAGTTCGCTTGAAACATGTTACGAGGTAGGTGCCTAACACATGGTTAATGATAAAATCCTTAGTAAAAGTTAATTACAATGGCTTTTTCTTTACAGGATAAGAATGAAGCACGAAATTCACGAAATTTTACCGCCTGATTCTATAGTCTTCGATAAAGTTAGTCTTTCCCTGCACTTCAGGTGTCTCTATGTATTGAAATCAAATTTTGTATGATCTAAAAATTTGAATCATAGATTTTGAAATGCGAACGGGAGAGGAGGAAACAGGTAAAACTTCGAAACCAGCGAATGATTGAAATTGTTCAGAAGATTGCTCGAGAGATGCAAACAAAGAAGAAGAAATGTTTAAGGAAAGTTGTGCTTGAAAGCATTATTGAAGAAAGTACCGTAGAATTCTCTATGGAAAGTTTTGAAGCAGAGTTAGAGAAAGAGGTACTAATAAATTATCCTCAATCTATTGTAGATAGTGACAATAATTCAAAGTGATTCCTAGGGGGGTAAGGAAGAACTTGCAAAATCAGACGAAACTAAAAAATTAGAAGAAAGTAGTCATGAAATAAAAAGAAACGAGGGAGAGGTCGAAGGAGAAGGAAGGATTTCTTTAGAAGACAATAAGAATATTCAGCAGTTCGCATTAAAAAACGAATCCATGTCATCGACTGCAGAATCTTTTCCAAAAGACGACTGTTTTTTCTCGAGTCCAAACACCGTCATTTTCGAAGTAAAAAAATTAATTAAAACAAAACCGGAAAAATAATCTGTAATCTGTTCTTGTAGGACTTCAAAGTCGGCAGAAAATACTCCAGAAGAGTGATGATCACCAATAAAACATCCAAGTGGGCGTACTTACGATTTAACAAAGTGTACACTGAAGTTTGGGAACCAAGAGTTATCGAGGTATTTTAATAATGACCACCTAAATTCTCATTTAAGGAAATATAGTACGATGAACTTCTTAAATCAGATCGACATCATGGAAGCTGCGAGAGTAAAACCAGGTATGCATGCGACGATCAGCGTGAGATTTTCACCGATCCACGACGAGAAAGTGACAGCTGAGATTTCTTTCCTCACACTGAATTCCAATAATACGAAAACTTTCCACGAATTCCGTATTCCCGTCGTCTGCACGCCCGAGAATCCTCAACCTATTCTGGATCCTGCAGAGATCAGGTAACAGAAACTAACGTTAAAGTTGTAGAAGGCTAATAGGAAGCTTCTTGTCTTGAATTTTGAGAAAATGACTCGGTATTAAAAAACTGAAAAGAAGCAATTATTTCTGAAGGTTCCCCACAAGCCCAATGTGGAGATTCAACGAGTCAAGGTACAACCAGAAAACTCTTACCGTCTCGAACGAAGGCCGAAAATCCTTTTCTATTCTTATCGGGGAACAAGTATCTGAAATCATTTGAGCAAGTCAATACTTGTGATAGTTAATAATTACATTCAGTGTCATCCGATTTACCTTTAGATGAAGATGAAAATTGGAAGTATAGTAATAGGGACAGTAACGAGAACTCTGTAGAAGAACCTCGAAAAATCTTCCAGATTGAAATTCCTTCGAAGTTCAAGTGCCTTCTAAAGATTACTTTTCGTCCACGATATATTGGATTACACCATGAAGTCATGAAGATTTGCTTCTTTTGTGATGATCGAATATTCGGCGAACAGGTCCTTTAAGAATGATGTTTCATGTATCGTACAAAGTATTAAGTATTATGAAATGTAAATTAAAGATGGATATTTGTCTCTTAAACAGGATATTCCAATCTGGGCGGAAGTAACAGGGTCCCAAATTCACCTAGATCCTCCATGCATCGATCTCGGTGTCGCGATGATGGATTCAGATGTCTGCCAACAAACTTTTAACATTATTAATACTGGTGTGTTTTGATATGTAGCTTGATAGTAATTTAGGATAATTAAAGAAGTGTGTTGAATGGTTGCTTTAGGGCGCTCCAGCGTGCAGATTTCTATGGGAACGCCAAAACGCTTGGGGAGTCAAGTAACGGTTTACCCCAGGTCGACGATCTTGCAACCTGAAGCATCTTCCACGATCAGCGTTAGACTGAAACCTGAATCCTCCATTCCACACCTGTCCAGACGGTAACAATGATTTCTTGTGATTTCGTATAAGAAATAGTAACAGCCGGTTGCCAATAAAAATTGCAATTCCCATTGACTTCTTTCGTTCCAATCCTCTTTCTCTTCTCGCGGCTTTTTTCTCCGTTACGCAAGCGGAAACAATTTGTACTTCAAATAAATACTGCCATCCAACTTGTTGCTTCCTTTTTTCGGCTCCCGCACGATTACGAGACACCTGAAACATTGTACATAGTTAGTGTTAGGTTAATAAATCAAATTTCTTCACTCCCTCGTGTTCCTTTTTCGCCTCTTCCTGCATTGAGCAACCCGAAACATACACAATTAATACAAAGTTGAGAAACGAGGCGCATGATTGATAAAAATTGTATAATACCAATGTCTACGACGTGTCCCCTGAAAATTATATCGAATAATTATATCAAATATTGAAATTATATTTTCAGCTATTACGATGCAACATCCAGCATCCTAGAGTTCCCTCTTCACGTGCAGATTTTAACTCAAAAAGAAGAGAAGCCACCTCCGTTGATTTTGAAGGTTCTGGCGAGTTTGACCACCTTTCGCGGTTTGGTCCTAGGTACGAAGGAGTGTCCAAGTGACAATGAACATAAGAATGTAATATGGAATTTGTTTTACAGAACCAGCGGACATCGATCTGGGTGTCGTCTACACGCACGAGTCAGTCTACACGGAATTAACGCTGACAAACGATTCACTGTTGATTCAAGAATACGCTTTCGTTTTTCTGCCACCGTTCATGGAGATACAGCCGAACCACGGTCTCGGGACTGTTTTACCAGGCGAGACTATCAAACTCCAGCTGATTTACTCAGCATGTCCGACGGACATCCCTGGAAATGAGATCGGGGCGAATGGGTTGGTCGGTGCGCCCAGGTTATTAAATTTTAATTAACTGTACGGTTTCGATTTAATCTTCCCTTTTCTTGGCTGAAGCGAGAGAAAAGTCAGCTACCAGATTTCAGATACAAGCGGTAACTCAGGCGGAGCTGGTTGCGCTTATGAAAGAGATTAAAATCAGCGAACTGAGAAATATCTATGATTTGGAGAAGGTAAATCTACGAAATCGAGGGCTTCCCCCATCTGTAGATTTTGAACCGTTCGAAGTAGTATTGAGTAAAGATGATGAAAATGACGAGGATTCTGGTAATACGAATCGTCGAACTGTTAGTGACGTCTCTGTGGATGAAAAAGATCCAGGTGAAGAGTTCTTTCAAAATTCAAATGCTGAGAAAAGAGATTGAATATTGTAGGGCCTGTAAATTGTACGAGGTAATTTTACATAATTTATTTTAGATGTTGAGCAGACTTTGGGCGTCTCAGTGAGAAGTTACGAGGATAGAAGAAGAGAAAAAAATGTGATCAATGTTCTGGTTCATATTGTGAACACGTTGTGCGAGATGAGCGAACAGATTCTTGAATTTCCAGGGACACCTTGCGGCTCTTTTTCCGTGGTAGGAATTTAAGTTATAAAAGGAGATACTTTAACATTTTAAAAGATATTATTTCCAATGAATAGTGTATTAATTCAGGTCGCCGTGCATCTGAGAGGCTACAACATGGCCTCCTATCCCCGTTGTACCTGCGGGATAGCGAAGAATCAAGAGAAACGATTCACGGCTCACTTCGAATTCAAGAGTTCCTCTGGTCGAGTGAAGATTGTGCCACAGTGTGGTACTTTGCGGAGCGAACAGTTCGTCAAGGTTTCCTTCATTTTCAAGCCGAGGTTACCCAGAAGTGAACCGATGATCGATGAACCAAAGGAGGCATCTAAGAAGGATGATAGTTTAAAGGGGAAAGGTGGATGAACAACATCCACTCTGGAAAACTTTCAATTTCCTCCTTTTCTTTTTTTTTTTTTTTTGAGGAAATTAAAATTATTGACTGAAAATTTGGCGTTACAAATGAATTCACTGTACTGCAGGGAAAAAGAAGAAAAAAAGAAAGACAGATGAAGACGAAGAGGAGACCGACGTTGATAAACCGTCAGAGGACGCCCCTCTGCTGGAAACCATCGATCCACGAGTCTCTACAATTTTTATAACCTGTTCGATCGATTTGGATTTTGACGACAGCACAAGAAGAAACGAACTGCTGTTTGTGAAGTTAATTTGCCCCGTCACGAGACCAGAAATCCTGATTCTGAACAAGAATCCTGTCATTGTATTTGGGCCGACGGCGATCGGTACATCTTCGAGGAGATTCTTGCTCGTCAAGAATATTTCCAACAAGTATGTACCAGAATTGAGCAATTAAAATTAAATGTGTCACGTAACTCTTATAATTTAAATCAGAAGCGTAAAAGTGGATCTGAGTCTGCTGGATCCATATGGACCGTTCTTCATTCCACCCGGAAAAACGATCGAGACTGGTTCGGTTCTGAATCTTCCAGTGACTTATCAACCTATTCACGCGAACGAAGAAGAAGTAAGCCATCTTCGAGTATCATTTAAATTTTCAAACTTTTTATCTAAACAGAAGTGGACAATATTCAAAACGTTTTTTATATTGAACATCAATTGAAGGTAAACTAAAAACTTCTGTAGGTAGGTACGAATATGAAGTTCGTTCGTGGTAGCTTGCTTTTGAAAACGCAGGTCCAACCGTGCCCTCTTATAAATTCTTTTTCTTTTATCTGGTACCTCGTCGGGCCTGGACGAATTTGAAACGGAGGACCTGGTCTGACGATATCGATATTGCTGTTGAACGGATAATTCTTCCTGTTCTTTGGTTTGCTGGGTGATTTCGGATTATAGTGACCGGGTCCTGGGTGTTTAGGATCCTTATACGACAATGCAAGATGCTGCAGCATCAGTTTCAACCCTGACGCCTTCGGAAACCTATCGAAAAAAGCATCGATTAAGTTAAATTTCATTGTATATTCCCATTAGATTCGATTATAAATATTCTAAATGACGAAGTTTCAGAGACACTCGACGCTCGTAAATTTAATGTGACCACCTCGGACAGGTGGTCCAACGTCCTTTAAAATAGTTCGACTTGTGCAACAGTCTGTCGAGCTCGCTTGGCAACGATGCAGGCCAGTCCCCGCTGTCTTCTAACTTCGAGGGCTTTTGATACCCTATCAGCGTTCTATCGTCCCTTGGTCCTTTCAAATAGTAATCAAACATTAAAAAAAAATCCATTAACGATTTGTATCGTGTTTTTAATTCTAGAAACCTGTGAACAGATCGTAGGGACCCCTTTTTCCAGTGACTTTCTTCAGGAACGCTTCGATAGATTTTGGATGCTTCACGTTGTATCTAATTAAAAAGTATGTTAACTTTATTGATGTTTTTCCATGTTTTGAATAACTTGAGAGACAGTGATTGTATACAAATTGCACGGCTGACTCCAGGGCTTCGAAATTGTGGAAGATCTAGGCCGTAGGCCGTCGTACTCGAAAGTGGGCAAACACGACGATCCTATACGTTCCTTTTCTTCCATATAATGATAGGGACCTGTCTTCGTATATCCTGAAGTTATTAACATGAATCTTGAATCATTCAGAAAACGTTTTTCTAACCAAAGACTTTGTTACATTTTTTTTTTGTATTTTGTCATTGGCAGGCTTTTATTGATTAAATTACTACTTAGAATTATTAAAGAAAATTCAATGCTTAACAATATTGTGGATTTATAGAATGTGTAGTCCTCGTAGGATAAATGTACCTGGTCCAGGGATAGTAGATATCATGTCAGATTTAAACAGAGGAACCGTTCCAAAACCAACATCCTTTCGTATTGTTTTACAAGTCTTTTTCAGTACATCATCAGGCCACTGTATCACTTCGTGTGTACCTGGACCAAGTCCCGTTCTCTTATGTTCCCTTTCCATCGCGTATTTCTCCAATAAGCGACCTCCCATTGTCGCCGAAAATTCAGCAGTCTCTAACTGCCTCGCCCAGCTAATTGTTTCGAAAGGATTTCTTAATCGAATGTAAAACTTGGTAATAGTAATTTTGGAGGAATTTCCTGGGAAATGTACTTTGGAGCTGTGGATCTTCTCAAATTCGGAAGATTGTACGATCCCACCGGAGGTGAATCGAATTTGCCTTCGTAAAACTTTGGATGCATCCCAATTTTTACATTGTGTTTTAATTCACTGTTGAACGGCGGTCGAGGCTTCCTTTCTCGAGGAACTAGACACTGACATCGCCATTTCTGACAGCAACGACAAATTTTGAAGGTTTTCGTGGTGGTCTCGCAGGGCATGGTGATCCTTCGATTCCTAAGATCCGGGAGGTTCCAAGAGTCTGAATATTAGATCATTGATATTTAATGAAAACTGATTTTTTAAAAGCTTCGATCTCTTAATTGTTCTACCGTGGGTTTAAATACTTTTTATAAGTTTTTGAAGAAACGAAAGAAAAATCGAATTTTGGAGTCTGATAAAAAGGTTATTTAAGCTTGGGTACAGATTTTCAAATTCTTGATGCAATTATACCTGAAATCGTTCGATACAAATCGATTAGTTATTCAATTCATATCACGTGGGTTGTGAACTTTATGAATTTTTGGCTTTGACGAAATAGAAGAAATACAATAAGTTAAACAATATTGACGTTGCTTTAAATTCTTTAAGAATTCCATCGAAGATTTAAGATTTTGTTTAACGATGGTGTTCTGAATTAGAATGGGTAAATGTGCATTTGCATGAATATCCACGATACAGAGCTCCGCTGAAGTTAATATATGTTTCAACGAATATTTGAGAACTTCTGAAGTGTAAGTTACTTTGTTAATGGAAAAAAGAATAATGTAATTCGTCTGTTCCGATTGGATCCAGGAGTTTTTCGAGGTATCCAGCTCGAGAACCAGGACAAGGTGGCGTGTGAAAGTCAGCGGGCGAGGAGTGGTGCCATCTTATGTCTTGAAACCTTATTTCAGAGTCGTTCGCTTCGAAGTTACCGATGACAGACCGATGGAAGCGAGAATAACCGTAAGTTTACCATATTCAGTGCAATTTTCTCCTAAAAATTAAACTACATAGTCTATGTTCTATTAAACAACAACCATACTCTAAAACATGTTGAACCAATCGAAAGACGAAATATCGACAGATGGTATTGCTCAGTCACTAGAGAAGGGACCTCCAAATGTTTTCTGACGATAAAACGATTCCCAGTTGACCGTCTCTACAAACATCAATAATTTTATATGTATGTAGTTCTCAAAAAAGTTGTTACGAATACAGTGACAGAAAATGACATTACATAGTTGTGATTCGAATAAATCCATGTTTTCTCTTTAATTTGGTATTAACAAAAGTGCAGAAATAGTAATAATTAAATTATAATTTAACTTTTAAAGTAAGGAGAGCAATTTCTAATCACCTGGCCTATATCATACATCTGTATCTCACTCTGAGCTGTCATATTTTACGTATACATTTCAAAATAGTTATTAATTATTTAGTAATTTTTCAGAAAAAAACTTTTATTATAATGAATTTATTATATGATATCTATATACTAAACAGATCAGGAACTGGGTGCGTGACGGTACGTAGCAATCGTTCCCTGAGTAAAAGAGAACCACCATTAAACGAATAAATTCCACGGTTTAGAATCTAGACTCTAGATACCTGCGTTTTTGATCGTTCCGAAGAATATATTGAGAACAGCTCGCGTGGAATATGAAAGGACACTGTACTCTTCGGCCTAAAAAAAAACTAACACGTTCCATCAGCGGTGCTATCATCCAGCCAGAAAGATATTGTTGGAAATCGAAAAGACGATCACCCCAGGGCAAAAGAGTTCCATGTATCGAACGGAAAATGGGGCGTGAAAGGGCGACAGATAACTTTATCTGCATCCCCTTCGGCGACGTTGAAGAGCCACACGCGAAACAGCGTGTTTCGCTCGAAGAATTTCAAACAGGATCGCCTACTCTGATACAAAGAGACAGATCGTACACCAAACAGGATTTTATATTTGACAACGATACCAGACGATTACTTGGTAAATCATCACAACAATTCGCGAAACTTTGGGAATCGATTCTATCGAGGATTTTTTAAAAATTTTCTTAGAAAAATACCAGGTCAGGAATGGTATTTTCCATGACCTGATTTGGTTACAACGCCTTACGGACTTGTATGTTTCTTTCCTTTTTTATTCAGGCAACAGTTCAGATTATTAGATTCTTTTAGAACATCGGTGTTATTTCGCGCAATGGAGGATTCAGCGAGAGCCACAAAAGCGAACGATTTTAATGAAAGTTAAATAATCGAGAATACTATGAGCCCAGTTTTCTCCACCAATCTTCCTGTGGCTCTTTAACTTCTGATTGCAGTTCTTTACCGTTCCTTTCGCATCCTCGTCAAGACTTGGTTAGTTTGGACCCGATAATTCTTCTTCACGGACAACCAATACCTCACAACAGCACGTACACGATTTTCCACTAAAGCATCTTAGGAGTCTGGAAAACTTACTCTAGGATCTGTAGGGGGGCTATAATACTTTCTCTATAACGAAACTACGATCCAATAGATCTACAATAACTCTTATTTAAGAAACTTTCACGTTGGACGTTTCGTATCGATATTTTCGGACACTAGAACCTGAAAATACCATTTATTTCACACACAAGGAACAATATACGAAAAGATATTTCTTGCATATCTGGACCCTCTTAAATTCTCTCTTTAATACTTATGAAACAGTCAGTGTATTATACGTGTAATCTCGTACGGAAAGATCTAGCAAAGACTTCGAACCGATAACACTGGGTGGGAGCCTCGAGTTCTAAATAAATACCGCTCATTAAGCCGGATCATCTGACAAATACACGAGCGCGAACCACAACTTAGCCCCAGCCCCCTAGACCACCGTCAATTAATAAGATTCCCCCGAGCCATATCGTTTCATTACACCCTATTTACCCCGGCGAATCATCCTGGTAATCGAGTACGGTCCAAGCTTAATCGTCCACGAGCCTTCGTCCCTGAAATCCTGGCTGTTACACGTTTCCTGTTATATTCAGCTTAGTTTCTATCGTCTCGTCTCTAAAACCCTCGCAAATACACTCTGCACAGAGCAGATCTGCTTCACCGAAAACGGCTTCCGGCCAATCGACGTCCACAAAGAGAGAAACGATTTCCTGTTGAAGCTTTTGTCGCTCGTGTCAAGCACTCGCGAAGTAGAACGATGTTAATATGTAGTACAAGATGGGTGGAAAAGACTCGGGAAATTGAATTGATTCTCGTGTTGATTACAAATTGAGCTGGTATTCTACTCTACTGAGACACTATTTCTACTTCAACGAATCGTGGAAGAATTTAAAGAGATCGATAAAATTGTCTGATGAAGGTCTGATGAGAAGTTTGTTTGATAAGTACATGGAAATTATTTTGACTCTTTAACGCACAGTGTGCCGTATACATCATATCTAGAAAATTACATTTGTGAATTTTAAAATTTTACAAATATGTTGACTTAATATTGATATTTTCGACTTTAAAATAACAAGATAGAACATATATTGCTGTTTCAGAATTTTGAAATGACGATTCAAGGGTCTGAGTGTTAAAGGGGTCAAATGAAGTGGAGTTGGTCGCGAATAAGACTAAGTAATCGTTTTTTGTTTTTGTAGAAAGGACGTGTTTCGTGTAACTTTCTTGGAAATCGTTAATGTCAACAAAATTGCCTCGTTAAATGTTACATATACATTTTTATATGTATTTTTTTTTGCCCTGTATTATCAAACATTCTTGCTTTGACAATTCTCTCTCGCGTACCACGCGCTTTTCATCGCATTTTCGTCTCCGGTTTCCGCGTGATTTTTCTTTACCCGACGCGTCAACGTGGCGTTGCGCTGCTTTTGAATTCTGTCACGGTACTTCGGTAATCCAATATCATTTACGAGATTCCGCAAGAAATTCTTTCGACAGCCTTCCTCTGGCAGGTTTTAGAAGAAAAATTCTCGAGTATCAGTTGAGTGGTTCATAATTAAAACAACCCCCTGTTCAGAAAAATCTAGCCAATTAATTAACTTAACAGCAAAGGAAGGTAATCCATTTCAAGAAGTTATTCTCTTGAAAAAAAGTATATCGCAACAACGACTGTGTTTGTTAGAAACTGACAAGTATTTACAGCAGCTTGATACGTTGCAGTTCGAATTAATTAACGTCAATAATTCCCTCAGTTTCATACACAATGCTGAATAAATGAACAACTCCGTGGTTCCGATTCACCTGAATCATTCACAACCGACATCGAGTAAATTTTCCATCGAATTACAGCTAAATCATTCACGAATCGACGTATCCCCGCATAAATTACCGTTGCCTACCTGTTTTTGACATTTTTTCCTCCCAAAACAAATGGGAAAATCTGTTTCAGATACAGAATACTGGAGACTGTCCGCTGACTTTTCGGCTTCGCTGGAAAGACGCGTTTCAGGGAAATATTCCGGAGCTTCCTGATGGATCTCCGGCGAGAAAGGAGAAGAAGAAGAAGGGAAAATCCGACGGGAAAAGCGGGGAAATATCGGCAAGGAAGGTGAAATTCGACCAAGTACTTCGACAACATGAGGAATCGGCGATATTCGGCGGAGGATTGGAAAGATGTTTGGATCGTGACTGTTTCTCATTTTGGAATCTCGACGAGAATATGCAGTTGCTGGTGTCTGAACGAAAGAAGGTACTTTGGTCTAAGAAAAATCTCAAGCATTCATAAAATTAAAAAGAATCTTTGTGGAAAGTAAAAGTCCTGCTCTTTCTACGATTTTTTGACAATCTAGATTGCAGTCGAAATCGGATAAAATATGTACAGTGTCTCCAATAATAAGTAGATTGTGGATGTACGTAACTTTAAAAATGTAATAAAATAAAGATTTTAGTTATTGCCAATGTAATGAAGCATCTAGTAAAAAATGTAAGATTCTGTTCCATTTTAATGTTCAAATATTCGTATCGCATTTGAAAATTTGCATAAATTTTTTCGCAGTCAAATATAAAGTAATGGAGATGATGAATATACGTTCAAAGACAAATGAGAAAATGTGGAATAAAATATTTTCGTATGAAATCTCGTATTCGAGGAAACGATGTTTGAATATTCTCATCGCTATTATTCGCCGTTTTGAATTGAAATGCACCAGTAGGATCATACGTGATTACTTTACTCGCTGATTACCGTTTCATAGTTACGAAAAATAATGTAACTCAGTTCCCTTCAAAGATACCTCGTTACGTCAAATAATTTCATTCCACATTTTCCACCTGTTCCTGCATACGTAATCATCACCTCTCTTTCTCCGTTCGAGTCACGGTCATTACGATGCATTCATCCAGCTTTTTTAACGGCATTTAACCCCTTGTTAACTTCATACGCAGATGGAATTCGGTGTACGTTTTCAACGGCCGAGCAACGAGGCAGCTGTCGCGAGCGGCAAGTCGGCGGGGAAATCGACGAAGGGAAAGAAGAAAAGAAAAGAATCGCCAAAAAGGAACGACATCGAGAAATTAAATTATTGTTACGTAGCCGTGCTGGAATTAACGCTGGGAAGTTCGTTGCTCGTGCAAGACTTCGTTGTAATATCCGTGTTGAAATAGAGATTCCGATATCAATTTTGTCCACGACGGATTTAATGAAACTCCTGGAATAAATTTCAAATTTCCCACAAGCTTGCTTTACGGGACATTAATTCCTTGTTTATTCGATCATGAAAACGACGTCGAGCCACCGACTTTTACCTTCAACCAAGAACAGCGCGACAAGGAACGAAATTATGGAGTAACGACGAAAAGAACGAAAAAGAATCGCGACTCGTCACTGCCAAACACGCGACTTATGGTGTTAACAATTTTTCGAGAATGATGTCTTTACGACGACTCGTCCACACACATATACGCACATCTTTCTGCATTGCGTGCAAATTATACGAAAAAACTCAACGAATCGACAATTAACGCGAGACGGAAACTCGTCGATCAGTCAAGTAATTGAGCCACCATGTTCGGAGGGGAATTTTTACAAAAGTTTTATCCTAGAATTCGGCCGCGTGAGCGTAATACACACCCGTCTTATAACTAAACGTTGACCAGAAACGCTGGAATATACTTCGAACGCGCTCTAACGTTCTAGTTTAATACACAAGAAGCACGATGAAAATTGGAAAAAATACACATAACGAGGCCGTAAAGAGTTTAGGCCCCATCGACAAGCTGTTCCTTACGTTCTTTAAAGGATTCTAATTTAATCAAGTCGTACACCGATAAGAAGTTTTACGCCATAAACCTTACGTATTTCGTCTTGTCAGTCGATTAGAGCGATTCGTTTCCCCCATTTTTGCGACGAAAATCACCATGGATCTTCGTTCGACAACACTAGTACACACTTAATTCGAATACACGATTATCGATCTAATTAGACGATCGTCTTCGTCCTTGAAGCGATCGTCTCGAATGATATGATTAAAAGAAAGTATCTTCGACACACTAAATCTTCGATTAACGCTCGAAACTTAGAATTGCTTTGGAGCAGTTATTGTAGAGGGTATATGATTTCTGCACTTCATGAACACTTCATGAGATGACACAATTCATGAAGTGCAGAAATCGTGTGCACCTCTACGATAATTGTGTCAATTCGTGAAGTGTAGAAATAGTGTACCTCTACAATAACTGCTCCAAATGAATTCATAAACTAGATTTGGGGCTGAGCCTCCAGTGTGGAAACCCCCAGTAGTGAGGATGAAGAAGTATTTAACGTAGAGACCTCCCCGAGCAGTTATCAAGACTTTACTGTACTTTACAATGCATACAGCGAGACTCGCTGTACACACGTAGCGTCTTCTCAACCGTTTCGCGAGGCTTTTACACTAGCAAGCACGACCTCCGAGAATCGTCTAATTAGTCCCTAAAAGCTTTACACGTACAAATAAATAAACGAATACGATGAATTACAGAGTCCTTATAGTTAATTACTATCGTTCTACTCTATCCATCGCGAGGAACGTCTCTTTAGGGATAGTTTACTCCGCAAGCTTCACGATGCCATGTGTTTCTCCGCGAGAAACAACGAATTAAAGAGGAACTTCGATCCATGAATCGCGTGTGTTTCGCGCCCCTACAACGAAAGTATTTTTAGACCTAGAAAATATTTTAGAAAAATTATTTCAAGCATCGTCCAGGTCTATTTGAAAAGGAAAGTTTTAAGAAAAGCGTTAACGCGTCTCTAGTTGTAGCTTCCGAATTAAGGAGCACAAGCTCGCGAGAAATTCGCCAATTCCTGGAAGCGATTTAAAACTTGGTCCGGTGTTCCCGAGTGCAGGCGATCATCCATCTAAGGGCCTGGGGGTGTAACATTTTCCCCAAGCTCGATTCTCCCGGTTCCCATGGCACCCCCTCGCCATTTTTCCGTCCCTTTTTTGTTTTCTCTTTTTACCTGCGAAAGAGCTGCCTCGACGTGGACCAGGCACCGCGAAAGAATCAAGTCCATCTGAAAGCAAACGCGGGTGGAAAGGGTGCTAATACATATAGAGAAAACAGGAAAAAGCCGGGTGGTGGTGGTGGTTCGTTGTTCGGTGAATATCAGATTTCTGATCCAGGACCACCGGACGTAAAGCCAGCGTTCCGTACCGGCAGCCATTGAATAAACGCTCACGCAATCTGTGTATCCTTCGTGAAACATTCCTTTGCCTCGAGAAAAATCGTCCGACTCTTTCGAGCGTGTTTTTTTTTTCATTATGGAAAAAAAAACATTGCAAGACAATCTTCGATAGAAGTCTGTATGTCATTTCGATTCTTGAGTTCGACAAGTTAAATGGAATTGCGGAAGTGTTCGAATGACGGAAAAATTACAGTCCACGGTTTTTTAATTAACATAACTCGGCTAATAGGGCTGTCAGACACGTCTATTCGTTCGTTTCAAATCGCGCACACTGGGTTACGTCCGATCGTGCGCTACTATAGAGAGGGGTGGTGGTGGTTAATTACACGGAAAAACACGGACAATAAAAATGGTATCCGTACGCCGTGGCGTGCACCTGAAAACAAACACAAGCTGGAACAAAAATTCGGAAAAAAATATTAAACGAAAGGAGACAGTGTAAGATAGAGAGAGACAGAAAGCGAGAGAGCAGTGCTTAATAGCATACTGGCATACCACACTTGTTACTGTTAAGAATATTCAACGAGTCAATGAATTCACCGTTCCCAAAGAATTTCACTCGCGAGAATACAAACTGAACTTTAAACTTTTGATGGAAGTGCTCCCATAAACTAGAAGTTCTGAGTTTTTGTCGACCTTTCGAAGTTTTAAGTATCAGGCGATTTTTATCACGCGACTATTATTTAACCCTTTGCACTTAGAATCACATAATTTTGTACCTTCAGAGGGGACAATCGAGTGCAAAGGGTTAAACTGAGAACCTCCTTTCATCTTTGAGGATGAAAAGAGTTGAAGAGTTGAAATTTTCTGAGCTTTTGAAAAGTTTCAGGGACGGTCAGAATTATGGGGTTACTGAAATTACAGTAGAACTACGTTTATATGAACCTGTCAGAGGAAAAATTGGTTCATAGGTATAACCAGGTCCAATTGCCAAAAGAAATATTTGCCAAAGTGATTAAGTCCACAAAAATTATCAAAAAAATGAATTTCAAATATACAAAGTTAAGCACCAATCTAATGCTTCGGCACAAAAATTTGAAAAAATTCAAAAAATGGAGTTAGTCACATGGGCCTCTGAACGACTCATATTATAATAAAAAGAGTCCGTTCATACAAACGGAGTTTACCTGTAAGTACTTGCCCGAGACGCCTTCATGCTTTTCAACGACTTCAGAAACCATTGTTTTTTTGCTCGATGGACGATAAACGTGAATTCATGAGTACGTTTTGTTGACTGAACTGTTTTTCATTCCGTTTACCTAGAGACAATCGTGCTTCGTTCCCTAGCTCGAGTGTGTGGGTGTGTGTGTGTCACGGGTGCATTTTACACGGGTATTCGGGTACTCGAGGACACACACAACGCTGTATTGCCAAGGTGTCACGGGTAGGCTACCGGATGGTTGTCGGTCGAGTTTCGATACTTCGACTCCCGGAAGGAGTTTCGTATCCACCTGTATCACGTACGGAACAGATTGGTATTCGGCTTTTTTCACAGTAATACACAGACACGTGACGAGGACAATCAACGATCAGGTTAACGAGCAACGAATAGTGCGCGTTTCTTTCGGTCTGGAAAAAGAAAAGAACCGTCACATGGTTCGACCGTGAACCGTAGACCTAGCTTCGTCGTTCGATAAAAGCAAGCGAGTAATTTGGTATTCTTTTGACATTCAAGGAGTATAACGAATTTGTGAATGATAGTGGTGGTTTAATCAACATGAGACGGTCGATGGTGTCTGGACCGCATTAGCAACTTCGTTCGAGCAATTATTTTGCTTCCTAAATAGAAAACGATTTTAAGAATATTATTTTACTTTGGTAAACTGAGAGATCCACGCTAATCCCTTGGTACTGCAATATCTAACCTCCTGTAATTTACTCTCTAAATAACCGTGAATGTAGAATTGTATCCAACTCGAATAAGAACGATTTACAACTCGATAAACCTTTGTTAACGGTAGGCGGAATTTCTTTCTAAATCCAATCCATTTCGAGTCTCTCATCTCCCAAATTCGTGAAACACATGTCGCAACACAGAGGGGTCAAAACGTAAAATCTTTTCACGGTTTCTGCACATGTCACCGTGGGTGTCGCCAAAGAATTTATGGCCGCGAACACGATTCCTATCCCGTGGGAATACAAAACGTGAGGTAAACTCGGAATATATATCACGCTCATAACTCTCCAAATACGGACCACCACGAGTCGAAGAGAGTTAACGTCGTGAAAGAGAAACGATACAAATGTCGTCCGATCGATCAACAGTCCAAACCTGTCGAATTTCGGTGATTAGCGAATAATCGACGGAAGCGTGGAATATCGAAGCGTTTCTAACACGATGGATCGTGGATAAAAAAATTACAAACAATTTGCAGCTGGATTAATCATGCTTCTTTAATAAGAAAAACGTTCTTCGAGTCGTAGATTGCACGACTAAACGCGGTAACGTCAAAAAATGCTCGGTGATGTATAGTAAATCCTCGATGAGTGTCCGAAGGCTTCTCGACTCTGAACATTAAATATTTCATAAACTAATGACCACATACGGCCACACGGCTGAAACAAATATTATTAGCTTCAGAATTCAAAGCACCATCATTGTGCTAAACCCCATTAAAAAGTCAGCGATACACGTGGGGACCTCTCCTTGTCAGCTGTTACGAATACTCATCGAGGATTTACTGTACTGCGTGCAAAGAACCGACACATCGCGCGCCCTCGAGTGTTGTGATATATATTTATCCTGTATACGATCTAAAATTCAAAACAGTGATCCTTCGGTTACACGCACCGTTTTCATATTATGTTAAACAGAGAGAGAGAGGGAGAGAGAGAGAGAGAGAGAGAGAGAGAGAGAGAGAGAGAGAGAGAGAGAACGCACCGTTTTCATATTATGTTAAACAGAGAGAGAGAGGGGGAGAGAGAGAGAGAGAGAGAGAGAGAGAGAGAGAGAGAGAGAGAGAGACGATGAATGGGCCAGATGTACAGGTAGAGAAAGAGAGCAAGAATAGAGAGAACGAGGACAAAAATAAAAAGAAGACATACAAAAATATGCGTGCATGCACGCGAGTTCGCGACAGATATATGTATACGTGTATATGTATACCTAACACTGGTGGTCCTGGTCTGACTGAGGCTGGGGTGCCTCTTCACGGGCGCTTTGTAGCCTCTTCGGGGACAGCAAAACCACCAACCGCCACAAGCTGCTGCCAGGAAGCTCTCCCTGAAGTGCTTCGACATAAATCCGTAAACGATCGGATTTATGCAGCTAGAACAGAACGGTTTCGAGGAGAATACCACCGGTTCGTGGCTGATCTGAGAAAATGGAGATTGACTACTTTCCGTGCAGCGTTCCATTCGAATAACTTTCGAGGGAATTAAAGAATTTTCTGATAATACTGAGATTACCCTTCTGGAGTGGTAATAGGTACACTTTCCTTTATACTTTCCGACAGATTGTTACGTAGATCTTGCATGAATAAGTAATAATAAACTAAGCCTGTCTTGGACGATCACGTAGCGATTTGATGGAAATTCACTAAATGCCTTACCATCTGCGCCACGATTTCCTTGGAAAATTACAACGATTCTGGAGGGAGGGGCAGACTATGCGGAATTATATGCTCATTACAATAATTACCATAGACTTCAGATTACAGTATACATGTTAAGCAGAATTCTTAATGCTTTCGAAACAATCGGTGAAAAAAGAATAAAGAAAAGTTAATTCTATAAAAATTCACCGATTTTTGCTAAAACTCCGCAGACTTCTAGGAGGCCTCGATAGACGAGTCCACCTGTGAGTTCCATTAAAACGATCCAATTGCAGAGATACATCAGTTTGCAATCAACAGATTACAACTACTTTCATAAGTGAAATGTGAAAAAGCCAACGGAATCTAATAAGCGTGGAAGACTATTCGTGTAATGCCACAGGAGAGAGCTTGAGCTTCTAGTAGATACTTTGGCGGGAATGTGTACCTGTTAAAATAAGCCATCAGTTGAAAGACGGTATTAAGGTGTTTATACGTTCCGACCTTTACCCGTGGCAGGAACTCGTACGCGGTTAGCGTGTTCTCCACGAGAATTGGACCCCAGCAAATGGCGAACAGCACCACCACGGCGACCAGCATCTTCACCACCTGTCACGCAACACAATTCCCTGGTGAATCTGCAAGATCTCTCCAGTCTGATTACAGAACACATATCAATGTTAGAACTACCAAAGCAGTCAAAATGACAGGTTCGCAAACATTTGTAAAAGTGATTGAAATGTTATAACAGTGAATTTTACGAAATTTTTCGCAACTTCTATACATATTAGATTCTATATAAGATAGTATTTCTTACCGACTCACCCTGTATAAATAAAGAAATTAATTAAATCATAAATTTGTATAATTTCCTATAACTGTCGTTTTTTTCGATTTAATAGAAAAGGTACACGTTAATTGTCGGTAGTTCTAGTTTTAACGGCGAGAAAGCCTCCTTGCTGTAACTCAATTTATTTGTGAACCTTTTATACTTATTTGAAATTAATCAATTATGATAACTTAAGCCGCGATTCTCTGAATCATTTCCGTCACGGAGAAATGAAAATGCAGTAGTAACTGGCGAGAGCCATGCTGGAGAAGGAAGAGAGGAATAAGTCTCTTTCATTAATTTTCCTCTCTCTCTCTCTCTCTCTCTCTCTCTCTCTCTCTCTCTCTCTTTCGTCCGAGTTTCAGGAGTTCGTCCTACATTCGACACTTTCCAGTCCACTTTTACAGAGTAGAAGATACTACACGGAGCCTGGGCTATTATTAGTACACGGTTGCCGAATAGTATTCCACGGAAATCAAACGAACGAGATGAATAACGACGCTATTAGGACTCGCGACAGAATCTTATTTACAGAAGGGGGGGGCGCCGCTGGAAATGCACGGAATAATAAGCATTCAAATGAAGGTGGCGGAGGATTTGTTTAGGCAAATGGCAAGACAGTATCTGGAGACTCTTTTTACCAATTCCAACGACGCGTTGGACTTTTCGAATTGTTCCTCGACTGCTCTGTTATAATAATTTCCACTCGATATCGCTAACGACACGCTAATTAATATTTCCCTTGCGCTCCAAGATTCGTTCCCACTCTTCTGTTTGCTTGGAGTGTTTGTTTGAAATTAATACAGTTACTGTGGAAAACGAACGTTGGACAGAGTATCCATCATGATAAAAAAGATACGAAAGGATACGGAAGAAAATTACATAAAAAATTTTCTGTTGTAATAAAGAAATATTAAAGTACACAGGAAGAAATTAGATCGAGGATTTCATTGGTAAATTGAAGATACAACTCACAATGAAAGCGTAACGAACCTGTTTCATCGTACGAGATTCCTCCTCGGTTTGCCCATCCTCTCGATAAGCTCGACGTCCGTTTCGCATGCTCGGCCTCTGAGTCATTGGTATCGACTCGGTGTCGGCATTATTCGGATTTAATCTGTAACATATCGAATGGTTCGATTAGTTCCGTGGAATTAGAAAATTCCTATCAACTACACCACACTGCGGACCACAAACGAAGATAAACCCTATATGTATACCAAAAACACAATTTTCTTGCATAAACTAATACGATAAATTATTATAATCAACGAACCCAAAATACAAAACTGATATACCTCGAAATTCCATTGGACGCTGTCGTATAAATTTTCCAACAGCGCAAAAGAAGCGTCCTCCCCTGTCATTAAACTGTTATCCAAGTTCGCTGGATCTGTACGTATTCCTTTTTTTCGCGGCAATAATGCAACCCCCTCGTAACTATGCACATGACGCGCGTATCTGGGATCGTTCCCTCCACCCTGAGATCGTCAGAGTTACACATACAACGGATTTAATGGCTGTCGGCTTTATCGCGCGGGAATAAGCGACGGAAATAAACGTAATTCCGTCGTCGAAGACAGCAAAGACGCGGGCGGTTGGAAGAAATTTTTTTTCGTTCAAACTTCCAACGGAAAATTGGACGGAAGCGATCGGAGGAGATTTTGTCTTTACGATCGCGACCGCTGATCCGTTTTCGTCGAAGTTTTTAACAAGCATAATAAACGAGACGATGGATTCCTGTAAAAGCTGGCGATCGGTAACGAGATAGCGAAGGATCGAAAGTTCCTCGGGTGGTTTGACGTCCATTTCCTTGGTACAACAAGATGCTACTTGGGAAAAGGAATGAAAATTGCATATACACTACTGTGCATAAGTGATTGGGTCCGGTACATTGTCGATATTAGAATGTTACGATTTTTCAATAAATAAAGAAACAATTTATTTCTTTACTTCTGAACAGTAGTGTATTTGAACGGAATATACCGCTGAAGATCAGGCCCTCGTAGAGAGACAATGGTTTAATATAATCCTTTTAAAACTGATTAATCTACTCGCGAAACATTTAAGAACAGGCACTTCGAGATTTTTTCCTCCGGATCGTATAATTCTCCCCATTTCTCCTTAGTAGTCTGCGAAGTTTCCTTAAATTTCACCTCTCGATGTCCCCTCGAGCTGTTCAAGAACGACTGCTTTAGGCATTGTAAACTTTTTTTTCGAACCTGTTCCACTCACAGTGACAATTTCGTTCGTTCCGTTTTAGGATAAAATTTACATTACACAGTTGAATTTAATACACCTCCGAGCAGTGTTTTCGGCATGACTTACCAGAGGTGGTACAGAGAGAAATGACGGGAAAACGAGATTTTCCAGTGGCGGTTTCGTAGATTAAAATAAATTTTAATATTCAAAGCGGAAAATGCTCGTGACTCCGGGAGGGCTAACAGCGTTAGATGCGAAACGCGTTCTTCCGTGGGGCAGTCGGACGTTTCTAACGGTCGCGCTAATTAAAATGCAAATAGAAAGTACAAGACACCGCGGTTTCCGACTTTTCTCTTATCTTTCTTTATTTGCCGCGGTTAGTTTATCGCTCCGACTGCATAATGCATGAACGGGCTAAAAAATTGTTTTAGAAATGTGCAACGATACACTTTGTATTTTACAATATATTTTGTAAGATGATTTATGGTCAGTTTCGTGGTTAGTTGAATTTTTGTTTAAATATCAGATGGTTCAAGGATCGATTCAACCGCATAAAGGGATGAAATAATGAATTCTCAATTTTCTACGATTAGAAAAAAAATATTACATCTAAAAAAATGGAATTTTCTACTAAAACATTTTTCCTACATTTATCTTCCACGCAAGAATCTTTGACTTCCTAATAGTCCGGAAGTCGAGTACGTCGCGTTTTCCATCACCTGTTCCTGGAAACCAGCTCGGGAGAAACTCTGACAACCGTAACTAATGCACACGGGTTTTCAACTTGGTTCGGTAAGCGAAGAAACCCCCCTGAGACACAAAAAGTTCATGCTGCAACCATGAATCGATACACGGTATGTTCCATAAAAAAAAGTTGCATCGAATACCGAGACTACGAGTTTCCGTTCTGAATAATGAAAGAAGGAACAAGTTCTTCCGTATTTTATCCAACGCCATTTTCCGTTAACTTGTACATTTCTCAGTCCCAAGTGGACCCAGAGAGAAGTTACCACGAAACGTAAACTCTTCGAATAGCACGCGACACGAAATCTCAATGCCGCGTGGCATTTAGTGAATACAATTTCAATTAAAAGTTTCGCAGTTCCGTGATCTACGTAATAATTCTATGGGACGCGTACGTGTACCAGGTCGAATTTATGTGTCTGAACGCCAATTGAACCGGTTTCTGTTTGTGGAAGCGTCTAGGTGGCAAAGACTAGTGAACCGGCACGGATTTCAATTTTCGATAGGGCAATACGCAACGTATAGTAAATCCTCGATTATTCTGCATCGACGACCTTTAGCCTATCGTCACGCAAGCCCTTTTGGTCCCTAGTCGATCACAATTTTGATCGTGGACCCACAAAAATAAAAATCAGAGAGTCACTTTCAATCAGCGTGATGGAAATATTACTGCATGGATACAATGAATTACATACTTTAATTATTAATGGTGATATATGTATAAACTGCGGGCGTTTATGCCTTTATGAAATTCCTTCCTTCGAAAATGCAATAGACTAAAAGTTTCAATAAAGTTTAATACCATTTATGTATTATTAGAAGCATAGTAAATCCTGTCGTATAGAATTCAAAGTTCTGATCTATTTTAATTTTTAAACATTAGTATCTGAAATTGTGAATTTGCATAAACAACCAGTTCTTAATGTTAACTTACGCGTGTCGAGACGTCATATGGTATCGGCGCTTCATCACTCGCCAGATCTCCCAGCAAATTGCCGTGTAGCAGAAAGCCATCACGATCAGAGGTAGGACGAGAACGAGCACCAGCATGTAAACCTCGTGTGCACGCCATAGAAGTCCTGCATCATTGTCTCGGACACACCAATAGGCGATTACCCGCATTCCGACTACTCTGTGTGTCTGAAATATAAGTAATAATTACTTGGTACATTATTCACAGGCAAAGTCTTACGGTAGACTGCTTATGATAGGTCTTCCAGTTTTTAATTTTAAGAAGAATCTCCAGAAAGTATCCAATCGTCGATAGACTGTGGAATATTAAACCCAACCACCGAAGACACCCGGGATAACGGGAGTAATTAACGCGGGCAATTAAAAATGAAATACGATCCGGTCTGCCACTCGCGGACTCAACTAACAGCAAGAAGTATTCCGAGGTGGTTCCCCGGATGTTATATCCTTCTACGCGATTCCACAGAAAAGTATAATGCACCGTGGTTTTAAGAACTAGCCGAATTATCGTACTTATTTTTTAATCTTTATTTGAAAAAGGTGAGTTTATCCAGAGAACTGAGAAGCCCAAGGGACCATTTTGGAAGAGATCTTAACACCGCGATGGGAAAAGTATGATTATCGATAGAATCAATTTCTCTAGTAGCACCAGTTTCACTAAACCGTGAAGAAACTTTATTAAAACGTTCGAGACACATGCACGAGCATTAAGTAGGTCTCCCCCAGGGATCGTATATAGGAGCGTTTTATCGTCGTATATGTACGCGGCATTTGCTTTACGAGCAGCGTAAAACCGAAGTTTCTCCATGTTTCATTAATTCTTTACTGCCCCTTCCCCACCAAACGTCTCTTTTCGTGCGAAAAACAGAATTTATCGTTCGCGTGGCAGTTGCATTTGCAAGCCTAGAGTTTAATTAAAAGTTATAGTTACATGTCCTACGATTAAATGAAAAGTTTAGAACGGTCTTGAATCTAAATCTGGACTCAGAATCACGTAGACAGGAAAACAATGAAAGTAGACTGGCGATAAAGTATCCAGAAACTTGGTGTAATCTGGCCAACTCGCGCAATTAAGTTATCCAGACGTAAAAGTCGCTGAAAATAGTCGGAGAGGCAGAAAATAGGGGGAGGGGGGTTGTTCAGAGGGGTAGAAACTGATCCAGAGAACATGATCTCGCTCGATTTTCCGCCCGCTGGTCCATCGTTCACCCCCTATGGCAATGTGTCTTCTTAACGCTCTGATAAACAGGCGTCTTTTACCGCGATCGAACTAACGGCGGATGGATGCACGTCGATTTCGCCCACGTTAGACATCGTCGATCTCTATGTCCGCTTGCATGGATCAACGGCAAACGTAAATGGAGGAGACGCGTAAATAACTTTCTAGCGAGCTGCACGGAGACCTACGAGTAGACTATGAATGTATATGGAAATGTAGAATTTTATCGATCAATTTCACGAAACTAAACACAAAGAAAAATTAATTTACCCTGTTCAAGATGCTGGTAGATTCGGAATACAAAGAAAATTTGAATAAACTCATCAACATTTTTTAGTATAATGAATGTTAGAAGATGTCTACTTATAAGAGAAAAGAGGATTCGATTGATCGATGCAAACATTGGAATAGGGTGGTAGGAATGGCTCTGAGAGTAGTAAGAGGTAACGAAGTATCATTGTAAATAATTAATAATGGTTTTCCAGGTCTGAAAGATGGTAATAATCATCGCAATGGAACGAAGTTGACGCTCACCTGTGTGAAAATCATTGGAATACCGAGCAGGAACGAGGCCACCCAAGTTATAATCACAATCTTCCGAGCCTGGCTTATAGTGCACGTGTACTGGGCTCTCATTGGATGAACTATTGCATAATACCTGAAACACAAATGGAATTTCCAATTAGTTCGATGCCGATAAGTATGAAGTGTCAGCATCCGGATTGGAACTTCCAACGCTAGCCTTGTGTAGTCGAACGCAACCACAAAGTTTCAAAGTGACACGAACGTGTAACTACCGACATTGTTTTTTATAACTAGTTCCATTCTATACACTTCCTTCTTTTAACTAGTCCCATTCTACACATACTTTGCATAGATTTTCATAGAACAAATGAAATTTACGGGGAACGAGTCTGGTGATTCTCGACGGTGCAATTTTCCCCTAATCTTACGAGCTCTCCCAAATCCCTAGGATTATTAAACGATCATGTAGAAAAACGAACAGAAAGAGAGAGAGGTGGGATAGAAAGTAAATAGTATACTAAGAAGAGACGATGAAACCGGGTAATGGCGCGAAAAATCTCCGCGAACGATTCGTTTTACGGCCGCGGTCATTTCCGTTTTCACTGCCCCCTCCGTTTTCTTTTCCTTTTTTTTTCTCTCTCGTTCCACGCCCTTGCAATTAAGCGGAAGAAGAAAGAGCGGCCTCGATTATCTTGCTCCCTTTCGGTTAAAAGGGTCTATGAATACAAAGTGTTTCCTGATTTCCTATCGATCAGTTCATCCCCCAATCACGTAACTCGGAATGAATTAGAGGGTTTTTATTCTACGCAGGGTGGCGAACGCTGGGATCAACTATTGGAAGCTTTGACCAATGATCGAGGCACTGGGAAGAGTTGAGCAGAACTTTATGGGTATTTAAACAGTTAATGAGATCAAATAATCGTTTGCTAAGTGTCTACTCGTTCAAGAAGAAGTATTATTTTCTTATAAAAACTGCGCTGCAATGAACCCAACAAAGAGAGTGCATCGATCTTCTCGGTTTTCCCTTTTCTCATACATCACCCGGATAAAATATCGCAACCTGTGCCTGCCTACGAAAAGAAAGAGAAACACGGACAATCCGCGAGATTTATTCCGTTTGGCTCCGCGTGCCACGATAAACAACAAGTAAGTCGAGCTTCGAGTGAAAGGGGGTAGGGGGGTCAAGATCGATTCAACGTGCCAGAAGAAAGCCTCGATGATAAGACTGTTCAATTTACCCTGAAATCAAATAAATTTTAAGCATGGCCGCGCTACCGAGGGAGAAAGCCTGTTGGATCACACGCGCGACGAAAGCGTCTAGGGGGAACCATGTTTTATCGGTTCTCTATTACGACGATACGTGAGCGGCAAGAACGAGTAAAAGCCTCTCAAGAGAGAGAGAGAGAGAGAGAGAGAGAGAGAGAGAGAGAGAGAGAGAGCAATCATAAATCGGATGCTCGCTGACGGGCCAGCTTTTGCTTCGACCAACGGTTATCTAATCACGGAGCAACAGTGAGTACTAGACGCAGAAAATATCGACTGGAATTTCGAAAAACACGGCATAGCCTGTGGCGGCTGATTCCCCAAATGAGTTCTACATTCTCGAGGAAACTTCGTAGAGGGTGGAAAATATGAGAACAGAACGGTGTTCACCCCCCTATGCGTTGGAATCACGTCTCTCAGACATGGTAGTACCGTTTGGGAGGCGAAATAGTCGCGTAGGTCCCAGTCACGTAAACAAAAGATCGTCACGTGCTGATATTATGATACGAATATTACGCACAATGTTGATACATAGTAGGTACCACAAACTAAACTTGTTTTTGTTGTGCTGTTAGAAATCATGTGGTTACTCCAGAATGTTAACTTTTTTTCTTCTAAGTAATAAACTGCAATGCAAAGGATTAACAGGATCCAAAGAAAATAAAAACTTCTTCAAAATTTATCAAATTTGTATGTATAGTTTATTCTACAGAATCGTGTCTGCTGTAGATGCATAAAATCCGCAGTGTAGTCGTGAACCCCAAGAGTTATATCGTTTGAATAATTTTGCGTGGCAAGTGTATAAAGGTCGACCAGAATTACCCGCGAAGGGTTGATTGAAGAGGCACAAGAGGAATCCCGGCGATCCTGCAATCCGATCCGAAATGGAGAAGACAATTCTCAGCCCTCCGCGTGCTAACAGCCCACGAAGGGTGACGGAAAAGAGAAAAAACGGGACAAACGAATTTGCTGGAATTACGCCAGAAGACGTAAGCTTCCAGATGAATTTTCCGTGTGCGCCCTTTTACTCACAGCCGAATACTTCGTCGAGGGAAATTGAGCCGGGGCTCTGTACTCGAAGGCTTTAAGAGAATCGTGGAATGATTTTTATGCTGATTGCGTTTCACCTAATGTAGAAATATATCGTGGTGGGTAAAGAAACATGAAGAATACGAAAAGATAGAAAAATACATGATACTAAGGATCAAAACACCTCGAAACCCAAGAACGTTTCGAATATTCGAAACTTTTCATTTTTGTTGTAATTCGAAGTTCTCGTAACCCGGACAAGAAAAAATTTAAAATCGATGAATAAATCCCGAATATTTCGTTCAAGATGCTTCGTGAATGATCAGTTTTTGAATTTAAGGATATAAAATATAAGCAAATTGGCGATCAGTAGTGATCTCATGAGAGCTTGACGCAATTTTTTCAAATTTAATTTTCAATTACTTATAATAGTATTATGTTGTTTCAATATCTTACAAAGTTTTAGATTCAACTTCCGAGAATTTAAAAATTTGGTTCTAATCCACCCCTACAAGATGTCATACATACGCCTAATTCAGTATGTCTCCTCTTGCGACCAGGTCGATGGTTCCTCGTTCATCAAACGAGTTAACGGGATACCGCAATATTTAGCAGACTCCTCGATCATCGTCAAGTATAAAATTGCTTTCATCGTGTATGTGTGTGGGACAGACCGTGCTATTGGAAACAGTCGCTGAACATCCGCTAAATTTATAACCCCTCGAAGCTTCATTAATCCCGAACGAAACGGAGAGAACATCGAGAGTATTAACGAAAAGAACTTTAAGATACTGCTCCGGATAAAATTGCTGTGCTGATCCAAGGAATTAATGGGGCCGTTTCTTGATAAACCGAGTGCCATTACAGCGAGAGAGAGAAAGCACTTTCAACGGGTGCCCCGCACGAGGCCATAAATAAGCTGAATTTCAAGCAACTCGCGAGCGCGCGAGACGGGTCGGCGTCAATTAAGTGAAATTATGCGCAGTCCTGGCGATGCTTCGTTAAGAAGTTTCTTGGACTTGCATTCTTCGAGGATTATGATACTAACACCGTGGCCACGCATTTTGGGAAAAGGGGAATTGAAACTTTAACCAGATGGATACACTTGGGTTGAAGCACACACACAGCAAAAAATACTTTCTTCGCTAAACAGAGTTCCAAGGCAGATGACTAATACACATCCTTCGTGTATACATGGATACATTTTTGTCACAAACACACACACACATACACACACAATAAATCTTTAGTTAAGTAGGGGTCTTATTCTTAGTAAGAAGTATAAACCTCGATGTTTTTTCTTAAATGTAAACCAAGCATCGCTATTCATACAAGGTTAGTAGGGGAAGTTCGGCAATCAAGTTGAAACACTGCGTACGGTACACAGAGTATTCCTAGTTCGTGTGTCTAGACGTTGTTCACGTGTTTCTATATCTTCGATAAAGATAGACTTCCCTGAACACATTAGTGGGATATGATCGAAAGATATTTGGCCAGTGCACGCGATCGATTTGAGGAACAGGCTACGCGCACACAGGAAGTAATAAAGTCACTTTACCTTTCAATCGACATCGCGGTCAGCGTGACGACCGAGCAAATTGCAGACACGCTCTGCATATAATGCACCGCCTTGCACAGGAACAGGCCCATGGTCCATGTGTAAGAGAACAGCTTGGCGACCTGAAACAGACGATCGATGTTTCGTTAGATAAATTCAATTAAAGTAAATCTTGAATGTTCGAAGAATCCACAGCACTGAAAAGGATAGGTTCCCAGGTATAACGTTAACTTTTTAATAAGGTTTAGCACAGTCAAAGAGCATGAAATTCTGAAGCCAATGAGATTTGTTTCAGCCACATATGGCCATTTTACTTTATGAAATATTTGATGTTCAGTACCGAGGAGCCTTCGAATACTGAACGAGGATTCTCTTAATATCCTTGCTTCGATGTTTCTTCCAAGCTTCGATTCCATTCCCTGTCCTTACGGTCCGTACTTTCAGCTATCTATTGGAGACAAGGTCCCGAAACAATACCCCAACGAGAACAAAAATCCGCACGATACAATGAACCGCAAACAGTGCAACGGAAGAAAGAAGTCTGAATAAAGGAGACTCCAGGAAGAACGTTCACGGGGGCTGAACGTGTTTCATCAACTCCGTTTTCAACCAACGAGAAAAGAAGGAACGCGTTATTGAGGTATGCTCTTTGAAGCTGTTAATGAGCGCGAAATACCGCAAAACTGTCCCTGTGCGTTGACCACAGGCCTCAGGCCGCCACATGGATAAATTGAAGCACTTAAATTGCATCATCCTTTCCCTGAAGGAACGAGCTTTTAATGAAAATTTCCATTTTACTCGCGGTATACGTACACTCCCCCCCAGAAGTATTAGAACATTTATCGAATTAAATGTTACAAGGTATTACGAAATTGCTATAGGTCTGAAAGAAATATTGTTCAAGGGATATGTAAGTTCAGCGGTCTACATTATGTTACTATTTCTATCATGTAAAACGGCATACATATTTATAATTCTATCAATTTTGCGTCAGTCATGTCGTTATCGATCTGTCCTTAGCGAAACAAATGTAAATTTTAACCCGCTAACTATATTTGTCTACTACATTAAACGCCTATTTTATCACTTTAGTGACAATATCTGCAACATTTCTTGCCGAGCAATATGAAACTTCACAACGCGTTACCTCATCGATCCCAAGGGTCCGTCCAGTGATCTCGGTCCGCGATACGGAGTAATTTAATCGCCAGTGAAGAATTACGGTGATTAAAGTCGCGGTTAACGGATCAAAGAGATCAAAGAGTACTTCAACGAGTGGGGTAAAAGATGTTCCAAGAAAAAAAAAATCGTCCCAAAGATGCCCTAGAGCTGTTAGAAGGATAGAAGAAAGCGCGTGATCCTCGTTTCTAATTCGGTCCGACGAAAGTCCAAGCCGTGAGCGTCGTCCTCGGAGATAAGGAAACGCGGACAACCGTGGGGAGACTGGATGATCTCAATTGCTCGACTTAAGGTCGTTCTTAAACGCCGCTGGGGCCAACATTGATCCTGCACGAGGGACGCAACGAGCGGAATTAACGAATTTACAGCATCGAAATTTCGCTAGAACTTTCCCCCTAGAAAATTCCACCGGGAGGAGGGGATTTCGAAAATCGTGTACGATCGATCGATCGAGGAAATGTCGGGGACCAAGCTCGTCGAACACGACAACGTCCTTAAGTCGTCGGATAAGAGAGAAACGGAAGCGGGCGAGAATTCACGCGGAGAAGCAATCAAGCTCGAGCAAATACCTGGATATTTTCGATGTCGAATGAGTCCAGTGATGGTGTGCTTGGGAAAGAGAAGTTGGATGAAAGGGTTTTCAATGGATTTGTTGGCGAACAGAAGCGGCACGTCGCCGAGGAATACATTAAGACTTCGAAAGCCAGGGAATTGGAATTTATGAATGGAAAAATGGGAAAATTAACCCTGGATAATGGAAATTTGATTAGCTTCTGGATTAAATCGAGCAATAGTGATGGTGAAAATGTTTTGGGATGATGGGTGAGTATCTTTCTATATGTATAGAATATGTTAGGTGCAGCCATAAGTAGTCCATTATTTCTGTCAAAGATATTTCTCGATTTTTCACCGAATAAAAATTGCGTAGGGTGTTGGAGAATTATTATGAACATAAATGAAACAGTATCGATCCTTGATTTCCATAGAAATGAATAGTGATTTTCTGAAGAAATAGTGGATCACTTATTGGTACACCTACCTACATAGTAATTTCGGCAGTAGTACAAGTCGACGATAAGTCGGACCGACGGAAATTGATAAGATTACTTTTACATGATATTCATACATATTATTATCAACATACTGAGATCCAGTACAGAAAATTGTCTCATTTTTTATCTCGTCCTCATTTTTTAAACATCCGCAGTGTACCTACTCATAATACTTTCAGAAATTCGTAATGAGAGATTTTCTGCCGGGAACAGGAAATACTGAATAATTAAACGAGAAAGGAAAGATCGAGACGATTAATACTATATAGAAACAGTTTCGCTACAGAAGGAAAGAACGAAACACTATTTAAATTATACAAGCTGTCCCTTTAAGTACAGTAGCAGGGGCGTGTAATTTACTGAAAACGAAGTGAAAATTTTCAGCGCGAATTTAATTACGCTCGAGCCCGCCGACACATTTTTAATCAATTTGCGGGAGCATTCTAGCGCTATATGGGAATTTCAAAGTATCTTGTAAATCGACTGAAACACGCACAAATAATTTTGTTAGTCGATGCACCGTTCGAGGGAATATTCGCGTCGCTTTCCCGGCACATTCGTGTTTTATTATGCGCTCCCCCCAGTGCAGTCGGAGGTCCGAATGAAATTTCACCGAATACGCAGCTGATTTGACGGAGGCGTGATTGGATCAAGAAGATAAAACTTTGTGATTTTTAAAAACATTCGTGTCCGTGGCACTATAATCTTTGAAACCTGGAAATTAATAATGAAGAGAACCAAATTCTTTGCTGCAAATTTAACAAAACGACATGAATTCTTTCAGACATTGTTTACTGTTAGTGGCGTTGATTCCAAGAGAAGGGTTAAGAAACCAAGAAACGAGCCAGGATTATTGGATTAGCAGTACCAGCGGCGTTCGTGTAACGACACTAATTGAAATTGATGTCATTAGCGTAAAGTTTAGTCGATTAAGGTAATTGAATGCAGTCGGGACGCGACGTAATGCGATTACTGATAGCTAGAAGATTGCTGCCCAATCATCGCAGCTCAGATTAGACTTGAGCTTCGATCTAAAAAAAGAAATCTTAATGGATCTCTGGTTGAATCGAGCCATGGAGAGGAAGAGCTCTAATGCAGCGAAGTAATTATATATTCAAGATTTTTATAATAAATTATTACATTGCAACAGTTTGCCTCGACTTCCCGCCAATTCCACGATCCGATTTAACGGGAAAACTTTACGAAAAGATCTCTAGGCGATCGTTTTGTGATCGCAGCAGCGATGTTACTCCTGATAATCGAAGATTAACAATAGGTGCTAATTAGTATTGCGCAGTAGGGAATAAACCGAGGTAACCGGACGGTTCCTCCGCTCGATCAATTAGCGTTGAACTAATTAGTTAATTATCAGGGTCGATAATCAAATCGATACATGGACTAACATTCTGGTCACCCTAAACTTTGCTGTCCAATTCGGTTTAAACTTCCTGTATTTGCTATTAACGGAAAGCTATCGAAATTTCGAACTCCTCGAGGGAAAAACCTTGAAACGAGTGAAATATCGAAGGGATCGATTGAGAATAGAAAAGAGGACCGAGGAAGAGGGAAACTAGCGTCGAAGGGATGAAAAGCGAGGGCAAACGTAATCCCTTTAACCCGGCGTTCGTTATAATTAAGTTAATCCGTTGTTTATTATCATGCGTTGTTATCGTCCCGCGTTGTTCCTCTCACATTATCGCATTACGCGGCAGCAGCGGCGTTCCTACCTGCGCCGGAAGATCGATATTTACCATTGTGGTGTGTACTGCTTTTTCAGCCTCGTAATACGGTGGCAGCCATTGTTATACAATAAATAAACGGCACGCGGTGCAAATCGGAGCGCTTGTAACTCCCGGAATCCGAGATTGGCGTACGCGAAATGAAAATTGCCCTGAATCGCACAGTCGACCTGTCGTTGAAATACTTGTTGATTCTACGCTCTACGTTCCACGACTACGACTTATTATCTGTCACAGTGGAAGAATCTAGATAAATTGAAAAAAGAAACATTGTATTAACAGCTTAGTAGATAGGACAATTCTAATCCTCCTGAATCAAATAAATTTCTGTGTACCTTCCCATGCAGTAAAAAAATCCAGTTAACGGGTTAAAGGATCGAGTCCTAGAATCTGAAAGTTGTAGTGATCAGAAAAAGATCAGAAGAAAAAACGTTCTAATACCGTCAGCTTTCGTTCCATTAATGAAACATAGAACGAGAGAATATTGAACCTGTATATTCCATACAAATGTATGTACATCAGAAGCTATCGAAGTGAATCGGCAATAGAGTATTTATGCTTCGATGGAAACGGGATTATAAAAGAGTACGCACTCCAGCCGTCGATTATCCCATTCCAGGCGATCCATTAATTGCCCTTTTAGCACAGGACGAGCATTAACCCCCATTCCGTGAAGGCAGATTAGCCATGAAACGACCAGACAGGATTTTCGCGACGGTGGAAAGCCAGTTTTCCAGAGGACGCGTGGCGTCATCGAGACAACGCGATATTGCAACCTGGTAATTAGCAAACGCGGCGGTTCGTTCCGGCCGTTTCGACGTCGCGTTACGGTTTAATTAAGCGACACCTCGGGCATCGGGGGCCGGCGAGCAATTTTAAGGGTCAACCACGTATCCAGAACCAGCTACAATGTATTATTGATCTCTGACGCAGCGCACGTAGACTCCTTGGACGAAGGATCGATCGACTGCTGATGAGGACAGCATCGAAGTTTTACTCGCTAATTACTGTCCATGGAAGGTGCAATCGAAGTGAAACTATTCCACAGAATCGATTTACATTTTGTTGGAGAAGACGTGAAATTCACGAACACGATAGTCGCTAACTATCCATTCCTTTGACACTTTCACGGATAATTAACACTAGAAATGC